ATAATTTATATCTTCTACTTCATTTACTAGTTAAGAAAAAGCTCAGAATATGTAGATTTTAAACTTTTTTTTTTCTTAAAGATTTAATTTATTTATTCATGACAGACAGAGAGAGAGAAGCAGAGGGAGAAGCAGGCTCCCAAGGAGCAGGGAGCCCGATGCGGGACTCGATCCCAGGACCCTGGGATCATGACCTGAGCCGAAGGCAGGCGCTTAACCGTCTGAGCCACCCAGGTGCCCCTAAATATTGGTTCTTATAGGAAATTTTTTTTAAGTTTTACTCATGAATTAGGTGGTCTTTGATCTTCCATTATTTATAGTATTTGTTATGTTTTCTCAGAACTGTTGACTTCAGAATGTCTAAACTATTTCTTGGTGAAGTTGTTAACCATTCCAAAAAGTAAAAAAATTTGAGTGATTTTTTACAATCTCTGAATTAGAATTTTCTTTTTACCCTACGTATATGAAATTGTACCTTCTTGATACTGGCCAGATATGGCTAATTCTTATTCATTGTCTAAAATTTGAGATTTGTATGGAGTAACCTTAATAAAGGTTAGAATGACATGTGAAATCTTTTAAACAACTCAGTTTTATGAACTAGTGTTCTGTTTCACATAATACATTAGATGGACTCTAGGAAAAGAAATTTAAGTCAAACATTTTAAAAACAAGATTTCTGTTTAAGGGAGTCCTCTCTAAATCCTTTTGTGATCACGCAGTCTTTTATGAGTTTGGATTTTCTTAACAGTAGACATTGCTCTGTACGAATGACAGCTGACTAAGAAAGTTATGGCATTTTTCTAAACAAGGAAACTGGTGCTGGCCAGGCTTGCCTCTGCCCAGGATTTTGCCAGCACTTACTATTCTATAAATAAATGCAAGCATAAAAGGAAAAGAAGTGTTTAGTGAGGCCAGATTGTGTCATATTCTCTTGGTAGTTCAGCATGAGTGCACGCCCACAGATTTGCGCTTCTCCTTTGGTTTGGGATCACTGTCTCCCTGTTTTACATGCGCCCCTCTTGCTGTCATGCTAAAATCTACTGTGAATCCAACAGAGTAAATAGACATTAAAGAATGTCTACATTGGAGGCACCAAGATAAAAGCTAAGAATAAATGTAAGTCCAGCCGATAGTAGCTACTGCTCAAGAAATCCAGAGAGGATCATGAAAATCTGTGATGCGGTTTGGACAAAATTCACATGGATTTCTAGTCCATTATTTTATTTCTCTGGAGCAGAGGCTCATCTGTTACCATAGCTGAGAGAGCCCTTTTATTCTGTATTCTCTCAGTCCTCAAGAATGGTAAAACAAAACTTCTTAATCTGTGTCTGTTGTGTAGTACCCCCACCCCCATGTTTTCTTTCCTTTTTTCTTTGCTTGCTTCCTTCCTTCCTTCTTTTTTTGGAACACTGCCAAGCTAAAACTTGCTCAACCAAGGATGTGTATTTACAAACTGCTGTCACCTGCTTTCCTGACAATGCAGAGAGGATTTTTTTTTTAAATAAAATTTTCTTAATATCCAAAGCTGTTTTAAAGTGTTCTTTGTGTTAATTACAGCTATAATAGTGTTTCTGTAGTTCTGGGATTTATTAATAATTCTGTAATCACAACATAATTATTTTGAATCTTTGTAGGAATTTCTTTAGAACAAATTTTACTCATTAATTTCATTACAAATATCTCAAGTATTCTTTAGTTGAATCAGCTTGATTAGTCAGCAGTCATTATTGAAGTGGTTTTATATATACTTAATGTATACTTTTTGGCCTGAAAAACTAGAGTTAAGTTTTAAGAGTTTTAAGAGTAATTGCACAATGTCTTTGATAATTTTTTTAGTTGTTTATGAGAAGAAACTTTAATTGTATAGTGTAGCTTTTTTCAAATTTATTTTTTTTAGTAGAATGCTTTTTCCAACCAAAATCTTACTTGGAACTCCAATACACAGATGAGATAAAAGACTGCCTGGGTAGGGGGTAGGGGGTGGTGGGGGAGGGATGTAGGGTAGTGGTCTGGAGGGGGCAGAAGTGGTGGTGGTGGAGGGGAGGGTTGGAGTGGTACCATGACTTCCCCTGGTATCAGTTACATAATTACAAAGCATTATCTTTTGATCCCCAGGTGGTGATTCAAATAATTTAAGTAGGGGCGCCTGGGTGGCTCAGTCATTAAGCGTCTGCCTTCGGCTCAGGTCATGATCCCAGGGTCCTGGGATCGAGCCCC